CCAGATGAGTGCATAGGAAGGGAAAAGACTATACTGGCATTGTAGTATGTGAGGGCAAAACCAGATGCTTGCAGGCAAGTTCAGAAGCGACTGACATGGCATTACCAGAAATGCAGTAAGTTTTTCAGAAAAGGAGGTATGAACTTGCCATAAAACTCTGCTTTGAAGAGGAGCTTGGTCTAGATGACCTCCAGCAGTCACTATGCTGAAGTCTTCCAATGATTGTAATTCAGCTGCAGCAGCAAGTGCTGCTTACATATCCCCCCACCCCGTGAGTGCATCAATCTGGATGGCATCCAGAGAGCAGGGCTGAATGCTCACAGCAGCAAGTCTCTCCCCTTTATCCATCACTGGACAACATGTACGAAAGGTCAGGATTAGGAATATTTTTATATCTGCCAAACAAAGACTGTATTGTTCCTTATCTTTGCATGGATCTACATAATGTCATTTATAAAAAACTCCTGTAGGTCCAAATCTAATCCTAAACCAAAGGGAAATCATATATTGCCTCACCCAATTAGACCCACTGCAATTCATCCCTCCAGCTAATCCTGTTGCATTGCCTGTTACCCAAGGAGCTTTGTGTTCTTATTGCAGACATAAACTGCATTAGATAAGTGTACCAAAACTGTATTTACACATTCTGCCCAACCTTTGAGAATGATGTAAAACCATTTCAGTTAAGAACAAGCTGATAACCTCAGTATTCACATGGACCACAGACCATTTCAGCATACTCAGAACTGGAATTCAGAGCAGACTGATTGACTTATAGTCCATCCAGGTACTTGTGGTGCACTGATTATGCTTTTCACCTTCTCACTTTGTGTCAGAATAAAAATGCCTTGGTGTGTGGCACTGAGGAATGGCAGACACCTCACTCATTCATCTGGTTTTCCGTGGGAGTAAAAGAACAGGAATACTTTTGAGACATGGCCTGTTGGTGCTGCAGGTCTGTGCTGGGGTTTCAGCAGCAAGTGATGTCAAGGCAGCAGCTTCTTGGTCCAAGGGTCACACAGAGGTTTTGTCCTTCCCAATCATCCGGCTTTAAAAACAGTGTCCTTTCCTTCAGGTGGGCCAAACAAGTTTGCTTTTCTTGTCTTGTTTCTTGTTTTCATTTAGCCACAAGTCTAGAAATGTCTTGATCCTAACTTAACTCCCCTTAAGCAACAGGCATGCAGACCCAGCATTAGCCCATTGCTTTATTCCCCAGGTACTTTCATGGACTCATGGGTATAAAACTGAAGGTAGACAATTGAAAGGCCAATGCTATATATTTGTATTCTTGCAGAAGTCCAGTTGTTTTCTTGGTGTTAATTCCTTTGCTTTATGTTCTGGCCCTTCCCAGATGCAGGAAAGTGAAGCACAAAGGAGAATTTGGGAGCAAAGTAAAATAAAAACAGTATTAACATAAAGAGCACAAAATTAACCCTGCGTAGTATCTGGTTTATTTTCTAATTTCTGCCCCCAAACCCTTACACTTCTCTGCTTAGCTTTAACCCAAAACACCTATAGGTACCATACAGATGTGCTTTGGACTAAGCATGTAATTTGCTTTAACATCTTTTTTTCTATTTATTCCCATTTGATCTTCATTCTGTTCATTCCCCTTTTCTCCTGCTCCCTCCACCTGGTTACAGGGGCCAGACTAAAGACAGAGGGAAAAGTCTAGTGAAAGAACTAAGATCAGGAGCAGCCTGACATAGGCCAGTGCTGTAGGTATTGATTCAAAGTAGAAATGCTGCCCCTGCACTGCTGAGTGTAACTGGGAAGGGGATGAGGGGATAAATACTCAGGGTATCTTGAAAGTAAGGTGTCATAGCAGTGGAGGGTTAAAAATAGGTTGAAGCCAAATTTGTCTTTGTGAGCTCTCAGGTCAGCAAATGTTTGAGAAAAAGACCATAAAGACACTGTATAGCGGGTTAGATGGGAGAAATGTGGTTTCATGTATTCAGGAGAGTATTCAAGACTTCAAGAATGTCAAGCAGCAAGTTCAGCTACTGACAGCTGAGCACAGTCCCTGCAGATGTGATGCGATGCTTCTGACCAGCTCCCAAGCACTCACTGTGGCGCACATAGACATCATGTGGATCAGGGAATTAGAGGCGGGAAAGCATCGTCCAAGTACAAATAGAGCAAAGGACTCATCCAACATTGCTGATCTCTGTGAGCGTTGGGATCGGGCCTAAAATGAACCTCATGTGAATCACTGGCAACACCAGTAGTGAACCCTCTGCTGTGAACCCAGTCCTGCAGAGCTCTTAGCTTGGGCTTTAGTGCTGCTTTAGTGTATCAGGTAGCCACAGGGCTCAGCTATATAACCCTGGGATTTGGTCTCAGCATGAGTCTGTAGCCATCATTCTATTGCTTTGCTTGGGAGTAAGTCACAAGTCTTTAGGAAATCCAATTCCCTACGACAGCTGTTGCTGTAACACTAATCAAGTTTGGGCTGGCTACAAACTATGCCCTTCCACCAACTCCCATCCACATGGATTCTTATTTAAATAGTTATTGGATTAAAAAAAAAAAAAAAAAAAGAAAAGAAACGAAAGAAAGAAGGAAAGAAAGAAAAGAAAAGCTATTGATTTAAAAAATTTGCATTTCCCAGTGAGAGCCCCGAAGGTGGCTCACCGCAGTCAGACAGCAGAAGAGCAGGCAGAGGGAGGTTTTAAATTAAGGCAAAAAGGCAGAACGTAATGCTTCCAATTTACTTTCTTAAAATGAAATGTGCAAGCTAAAAAGCCACGAATTAGCACTACTGAACACTGCAGCCACCAAAAAGAGATTTTTAAACCACTCCCCTCCCTTCCTTTATCTTGTCAAGAGACTGTATTTTCATTGTGTTTGTATGGTAATTTAAATCATGCTAGGGCTCAGAGCATACAGTGTAATTGTAAGTCGGCAAGGGTTTGAATGCCATCACTGCAGTGAGAATAACATCATCAGCTCATCAGCTGTGTCAGTAACATTGCAATTATGTAAGCAACTATTATTTCCACCCCTGATATGCTATATTAGAATCTATTTGGGGGGCTGGAGCTGACAGGTATTCTGTAAATATGAAAAGCACACAACAGCAGCTGAGCCATGATTCAAGATAGGAACATCATTCCACCGGAGCTTTCTAGTGGCATCACCAGCAGTGCAGGCACCACTGGATGGTCCTAAAGGATCTGTTGTAAAACTTGTAGCTTTTCTGGTGTCCCCTTTGCCCTTACACCACACCCTATCCATCACCCAGGACCCATTTTCTTTCCTCTTACCACCTTTGTGCTCACCCAAACTCAAGCATTAGCCCCAAAATAGAAAAGGTTACTTTAAGCTGCAGAAGAAATTTACGTAGACATTTTTATTTGGTCTGTTGCAGAACAGTCTCGTGCATTTGGTGCTTGTGTTAAGTATGTCTAAGCCCCTGGACTGGAGCATGTCACTAAGTGATTAGTCTTTCTTCCTGCAACTCCCCGTGTGCTTTTGGCCAGATCAATGATTTCCTAAGCTTTTATTTCAGCTTCTTAAAAATGAGACAAGCATAATGATGCCTTTCTCTAATCCTCTGCATGTTTATATGGTGAGCATGCCACAGCAGAGCCAGATCATGAGGCTGTCTTCAGAGAGCCCCAACCTCCCCATGCTCCTGTTGCAATGGATCTCTTGGCAACGAAGAGTGAAAGCCCACGCATAAGTGCCTGTCAAGGTTCATCAGCACAGTAGAAAACCCTTTTACATGGCATCATGCACTGTGCTATGCGAAGGAGATCTGCTGAAAACATCACCCCTGCAAGCTTCATGGGGAGGAGGAAGCAGACCTCCTGTCTCAAACATGTTCCCTGTTCTCTCAGCACCCCAGGGAGGCAGATGTAATTGTCCTTAAGCTTTTCTGCCTGCCTCATTTTCTCTTTCTCACACACACACAACCCTCACCAACCCAAACCATGGCCGGAGTGCATGGCATGGCTTCAGGTTCAGGGCTGAGGAGCACTTCAGTAACAGATCAATATATGAATAAATACAATAGGAAGCCACACTTGGACTAATTCTCAGTTTGGTGCTGCGCCTAAAGAAGCGATGCTCCACTGAATGCGTGTCAGGTTATGGAGTCAGCCTTTTTTTTTTTTTTTTTTTAAGATTTTGGTTTAAAATGCAATTGGAAGATTGAGCCTTTAGATCCTCACATTAAAAAGGGCCTAGCTATTGAGTATAACTCAGCGTGAATGGATATGATGCTTGTCTTCACCTTACAGAAATACCACATATCGTAAAAGCTGACAAAGGGTATGAATAAAGCTAAGGTATAGGGGGAGGATAGCCATAAAATTACGAATGCCTGGTATTTACAGAATACCTGTACACAGTACTATTAATCTATAGTTTTGGTTGTTTTGAAATCATCTCTGCAAGGAAGATGTGTCTATCTGAATGTACTCTTTATTAGAATAATTGCATTCTTATTTTGGGAGCACACTGAGGTCATCTATTCTTTTACCATATTCTCTAGTGTATTATATTCATGGGAAAACATATTTATTCAGAACTTCATTTTGATATAATAGAAAAATAGTTCTTGCCACAGCAATGCGGAATACTCATTTTTCTCCATGTGTTGATTTTGGCATATAAATGCCAGAAGCCTCTGTTCTCTTTCCTTATCAAGAAAAACTTGCTTGAGATTAATTTCCTCATCATCCTTTCCTTTTAAAGTGGCTGTTTTTCAATGCCATTTAAAAACAGAGTTGTGATAAATTCCTGTTTTCAATGTGCACATTTCAATGAAAGAGTCTATTCCACAGCAGTAAAGTAATTGAATCCAAATAGAAAGGGACTAAAAAAATAAATTATGAAATCAGGTGCTGTTACTCCAGCCAGTTGTATGAGAGGTGCCTTCATGTATTTTTCTTTCTAATGACAATTAGTTTTGAAATAAACCAGTTAGAAAAGCTTTCAAAATTTTTATAGAGGGGAAAGGACATGCTTTTGACACGACTTCTTTATAATTTCAGATTGGACTAATTGAAGACTACTTATATCAAGTAGAAGACGATTACTTAAAGAACAAAAGGCAGAAAATAGCTAAGATGGAACAAACGAAGAGAACCCAAAGTACACAGCAACATTATAGGAACTACAGGACTGTCCCTTACAAGACCAGAAGTCATAGCCACACAGCAAATGAGAATGTTAACTGTAAATAATTGACAGGTGGCTGAGCAAAAGCCACCTTTCCAGTTAATGAGTCTTCCCCTGACTGTAGAGTTTCTTCAGCAAAACACCCCTAGATTTCATTAGTCTTTACTGGTAGGAATAAATCTCTCTGAAATGGTTGTTTTAAATTTTCTTGTTTATTTAAATGTTAACACCCCACAAAGAAGTGGCCTGTATTGTATTTTCTGTTCTAATATTCTGCATCCAAACTCTATAAATTCCTGCTGCTCAAGCAGCACTGAAAAACCAGGGTTCCCCCATCTTCAGCTAAGAAGATTCAGCCCGACACCATCTTCTTCCCAGGTTAATGCTTTACATCGATACAGTACTATCTGTAGGTGAAAAGCGGCATTCTGCACCTTTCAGCTGTGGCAACTGCAAGGGGAAGAAATACAACACTGGAAAGAGAAAGGAAAAAGAAACGGGGCCAAGCTGTTGTCACAGGGTTAAGAATGTGAAGTCCTCTCTTGTCTGTGCCCTTATGATGATTTTTTTATCCCCTGCATTAGATGGTAATTGGGGGGGGGGGATTGGGGGGGGGGGGGTGTCTAAAAAAAGAAAACAAACAAACAACAAAACACCAAAACCCTCCAGGGAAGAGAAGAACTGCACCTCCCTCCTTCAGGGCAAATCTCTTGCTTAAGGATCAGCCACACATCTTGCACTCCCACAGCAGCAGTCTGTAGTGTAGGCACATCTTACATCACTTTGGTCTTCAAGGGACGACAGGATCCCAAATCCCCTGACACCTGTCATCAGTGAGCAAAGCAACACACCTGCTTTTCAACAGAGATCACCTTATCAGATGATGTTTGACAGGCATCCCAGCTGATGTGTGCAGCCTATTCTGAGACTGGCATTTCCTTTATGTTCACTCTGTTTACTTTGTAAGTAAAGAACCTCATTCTATAAAACCAGTATTCAGTTCATTTTCCTCATTCAGGGTGATTTTAAAAACAAAAAGATTGAAAGAAAGGGAAAATCCAGCCCTAAGATTTAACTAAAAATCCAGGACCTCAAAGGTATTTAGCACTGAATTCCCACTACCTATTTATTGCAGATAGGAGTCTAAATCCTACAGATTTTTAGCTGCTCAAGACCATCCTTCCTAGGCTCTCATAGAAGATTTTTGAAAAGCTAAGCAAGAACTGGTAAAGGCTTTGATGGTTCTTTGTTCATTGTTAACAGAGTAAGCATGAAGAAATCTTTTTGAGAAAATCTGAGCTAGCCTGAGCTCCTTAAACGTGTGGGACAGGAAAACAAAGAATTATTGCCCTTTAGAGATGGCATTATTTTGCTATGGAGTTGGTTTTGTCAGATGAAGTTTTATGACACGTAGTGGCAATCATCCATCTTCGATGAGCAGACACACACTAAATCAGAAAGACTGCTCTCCATGGATCATCAAGTCACAGTTAACACACAGCTTGGTAAATCATGAAGGTCTTAACTAATATGATGCAAGCTGGCTTACAATTCTGCAATATTTAATGCAAAATCAGGTATTTTTACCTAGAATTATGAAAAATAATAAAATGCAGTGAAAACAGGTGATATTTAGGAATAAAAAAGCAACACTGCCAGTGAAAAACAGTTGTCTGTGTAACATTAACAAGTTGAGCTAAGCACATCAAGAAAGATGTACCAGTCTCATTGCCGAGTTTTCAAGAAACCCTGATCCAAGACAAGATGTGACATTTCACTTTTTAGGTGTCAAGTAGGGCAGAAAACCTGTCTTATGATGTAGATCAATGAGAGAGAGAGAGAGGCCATAACCCATATCAATCTGTAAGGTGTCAGAAACATCTAGGACAACGCTTCACTACAGTGCCCTTTTACCTCCAGAAAGCCACAGCCTAAAGTAGTTGTAAGGAGACGAATTCAGCTATGAAACAACACAAAACAAACATTCAAGGAGCCTCTGTCACAGAGAAGATTATTGCTGTTTTCCAGAAATACCCATCTGTGAAGCATAGGGCCAGGTCCAAACCTGCATAGTATTTTATTCATGACTCTCTGAGAGTCAACATTACTCTGCTCAAGGCCAGATTGGACAGGTCCTTGAGCAACCTGGTCTAGCTGAGAGTGTCCCTGCTCATGGCAGGGGGATTGGAACTAGATACCCTTTAAGGTCCTCTCCAACCCAAACCATTCTGTGATTCTATGAACATACTACATTTTGGCTGCACAATGGGGAAGAAGGGCAGGGTGAATTTCTGATGCTTGCTGCGTACAGTATAGTTCCTAAAGCATGAGATTCATTACGATCACCTACAAAATTAAAATACATAATAGTAATTAACTTGCCTTTTGAAGATACAGCAGACTGCATTACAATGAGTCTATGGCTTCTCAGCTGGCTATTTCTGTAGCAGGATGACATATAACACTGCTCCTCTCATTCAGGAAATATTATTACAAGTTGGATTGTATTCTTCATCCCCTTTTTTATTAAAAGCACATGAAAAACAGCCTGGCCCAGGGTTGCGGTAGCTCTTAGGCTCCCATACACAAGGACGCATGAGACCACTCCCCAAGAGCTCCACTTTCAGATCACTTCTGTTTCAAAGACTTGTTTCCAAATGAATGATGGGGGTTTGTTTCCCTCCATCTCAGATGTTTTTGTCACAAAAATGATTTATCTGTTGACAGCTAGGTTCACCGGCCCCAGGCAACTGATGCCAGTTGAAACCACTCAACGAAAAGCACGGAACACTATGACAATTTCAAGAAAGGTGAGTGGGGGAAAAGAAGAATACTGCCTTGTAATTCTTCTGCTTGCTGCTGCAATTCTTGCTTCCTTGTAAATGCCAGAATTTCTGTATTAAGTCCTAGAAGGGACAATGAGCACAGAGTCAGCTCCTTCAGGTGTTAGGTGCGTGTTTGCTGTTGAGTTACAACACTAATTACGACCCAGAAAAGGTAGACCAGGGAGCAGCTGGTGTTAAAAAACATTTTTAACTTTCACTATTTGTTAAGTCTCTTCTGTCAAAGGCGCATGGTAAAAACACCTGACAAATACAAGATGGTGATTCAGTGATGAAGAATGATTCCACAGCTAAAGTATTAATTAAATTAGACACATCACCAAAGGAAGATGATGAGATACACTTGTGACATCCAGTGGTAAGGATTAAATCAGTAGCCTGCTGTTGCTAATCTCATTCTGTACTCAGTGAGAGGGACAGTACTCAGAAAATAATTGGGAGCACCTGAGTCATGCTCCTACCTCTGCAAGTATCTCTGTCTACCTCTGTTTCACACCAAAGGTGAAGGAGAAAAGAACATCAAGTTTTCCTTCAAATTTGACTGTACAGATTGCAAACTCCTGAGAACAAGGACTGTCTTACAGTCCATTCCAGATGCCTTCTTAGGAATTAGCATATTAATACTTCTTAAGAAAACACCACTTAAAAAGGAGTCTCTTATTAAGAAATCTATAAACTAATCATGAGTTTACTAACACAGAAGACATATGTGGGATATTAGGCACCACAGTATTCCCAAAATGAAGTCCATGGATAAAATTAGAATAATCTATATACGTGTACACTGTATTCTGCTTCCAACCCAGCTGAGAAGTCATACAAATGTAACCTATTGCTTATTCAGTGGCTAGATGTGGTCACACATCTTTAATCTCAAAAACCAGAACAACAGCAGGTGCCAGTTTTACATTTTTCCGTTTGAACCACACCCATTTTCACAAGAGCCAGTTTCACATTGGGCTCTTTCTTGTTCTTGTTGTAATTCATCACAAGAAGACATGAGATCTAAGACACCTTAACAAGGCATAGCCCATGAATAATACAGTGCATTGCTTCAAGCTTTTCAGTTTGCTTTGTAGTGTGATTGGCCAACCATTCCTGTCCTCTGTTGACCACCCCATTAACCTGGGAGGAGAAGGTGGGTGGACAGACAATTAGCCAGAAGCATACTAAAAAAGTTAATACTGGAATGCACAGCCCCTGGCTTTCTTGAGCTTTAAGGTGTAATAAGATTCTGCAATCTCTTTCTTCTTTCAAATTATGCAGGGAATAAAAAAATAAATTGCACAAGATGAACTTTGTTTTCATTTCAGATTATAATCATGTCATTCCTATCAGATGTCACACTTGAATGATTTTAGTTTATGCATAAATGAACTGAGAAGAATGTTTATTTTTACCCCTCTCAATATGGAGAATATTGAGTTGGAGTGGTGAACTTTTCATTTGAAGATGGTCATTCTTGAGTAAAAGAAGATGGATGAAAGTAGAGGCAAAAAAGCTCCATACGGCAGTCATCTTTAAAAAGGTCACACTTGCTACACTAACTACATGAGCTGAGTCATTCCAGACATTCCTAGTCAGAGAGAGGAAATGGGGGAAGTTTTCATCCTGTGGGCTGTCAGCTGCAGAAAGCTTTATCTCCATATTCACCAAGAGTACCAGGGCAAGAAGCTCTCACATGTCTCAGGCACACACAGAAAATGAGGCACAGTAGGTTTTGGTGGAGGTTCAGAAGTGCCTGTATGTTTCCATACATCTTCATAAAATATTCTAGATATTTATTTTTTCTTTGGAAAGAGGACACTGTCATGAATGACACGAAGTTATATCGGCAATTATCTGAAAGTCTTGTAGTGAAAAGACCAAACTTCTTTGGCTTGTAAAGATTTTCTAACCATTATTCTGGTGTTTCAGTTACAATGACATGGGATAGAGTTTTTTTTTTAGATGTGCCATATCCTTGTCTTTGTACGAATGTGTTACTCTGAGTTGCTATTAATAGCAATGATATTAAATACTTTAGATGGAAGAAGTGGGGGAAAAAAGGAAGAGACCTTTCTGCTACCCATTAGAACACCAAATTTTACATTTATTACAAGTATTGACCCCAGTAATGCAGAGTCTTTTTTATTATATCACAGTAATATTATAATCTCTATTTTGCTTAAGGTGATATTCAGACAGGAAGAATCACTAACAAAGAAAAGACAAAGCTCTAAATTACAAAAATGACTTCATGGTTTCGCTCTGTAATACATTTTAAGTCCAGAAGGGACCATTAAGATCACCTGTATGCCAAGGATTTTTACACTGTGCTTTTTGATATATGGGATCCCAAGTAACACACCATTTCTTTT